AAGTCAGAGCTCATCAAGCTCACCTCTTCAGTTCCAGTAGCGATTACTAATAACATCCATTTTTTGCCAAGTTCATAAGGAGTCATGATTGAATGTAAACGACGCACGAGTTCAGTAGCCTGGAATTTTACAGCCTAACCCGTTTAATAACCCTTTTTAAATATAACGTCAAGATTGCACGACCTTGCTCTAAATAAATTCCAAACTATATTTATCTGCGACTACCTGCTCTGGAAGATCTTCAGTTTCTGTGTTTGATTCGGCTACATTGAGTTGATAGTCTGGCAATCGACTTCGCTTACCCATTCCATGAGAAACACCTTCCAGCTGTTCATTGAATTCCAATAGAATATCTGAAATGTGCCTTACAATAGAGTGAAACGCGTCAGTCAAAAAGATCAGATTTGCACCTTGTGCAGTTGCACTATTCTAGAATTTCCTACATCATCAAAATTTTTCTAATAATAAGTTCTCCGCTGCAAATCCGAGCTTGCTTTTATAAATATTGGGTTGTTTCGAAAGTTCTACCCGTTTTTCATACCCTTGTTTGAGCTACAAATTTTGAAGGAGGAAAGTAATTTCATGGAAAACTCTGCCTGTGTTTTTGAAAGCGCTTTTCCTGTACTTCTTTATAGTTCCTTTTCTCAAAGAGCTAGTTTTGCGATTATGCGCCTTGGAGAACGGCAACGAATGTAGAAGTTTTTGTTTTTATTTACCGTCTGAATCGACGGGCAGAAGAGCCAGTTTCTTTCAAAATGTATGTAATGCTTGAAGGAGACTTGTGCTACCATACATTTTTTGAACCCATAAATTTTAGCATTAGCGGTACAACTTCTAAAATAATCGGGGATTCTCGAAAATACAAGGCTTGATTTTCGACAGGAAGAAGTGCTACAATTTTATGATTGCCTATATGCCTAATCAAATAAGTCAAATAAACAGGAACAGGGCATTTTCAAACTGATGTCAGTTAGGGAGAGAAACAGTCATCCTGTTTGTGCTTTGAAAATTATGTCTTGACTACTATTTTGATTGATATATTTCTTTGTAATGCAACCCTTGTTAATGTTATGGTGTATGCAATCAGAGGATTTTTTTGAGTTTGCACTTCACAATCCGAAACTTTCCTGTTCTTGTTAGTAATTACTATACTAGACTTTTTATACTGTCTACCCGAACTGGTTTGCTAGATTTTTCTTACAACTTCGTTTCATCATCAGAACTGTGCACTTCTGAGGTTCTATAGATATAGGGTGTTCCAAAAAATGTAACTCCCTTTTTATGTTAATAATTCTCTTGCCATGAAGTCTTTCGATTTTTGAGCATCATTTTGTGGAGCTGGCTTCAGCCTAGACTAAGACAATAGTTTGGAACAAGCTTACATGGTCTTTTCAATACTGTGGGATTACTTTAGTTTGAGAAGGGTTTTGCGTCATAAAGGGTCACA